CATAAAAAAAACATTTCTAATACAAAAGAACAAAGACTGAATCAAAATATTAATGTGTTATAAATTACATATGTATATATTATATATATAGTAAATAAAAAGTTATATATATGCATACACACATATTATATATTAATAATATTATATATTAATTATGTGCGCATATATAGGCTACACACACATTAAAAGTAACAAAAGAACAAACAAATCTAAACAGTATGTACTGATTTTTATTAAATTATATAGCCTATGTATATGTGTGTATATATAATCAAATTCTATATACACTCTAAAAAATGCTGGGTTATAAAGGGGCAAACCCAGCTGTTGGGTTGTTTTGACCCAGCAGTTGGGTTGTTTTGAACCCAACCGCTGGGTCAAAACAACCCAATAGCATGGTTTGTCCCTTTTTAACCCAGCGCTGGGTTATATTTAACCCAGCATTTTTTAGAGTGTACTGATATAAAAATTATAGTTAAACTAATTTGGAGTATACTACTTGTGCACAATGCACATTTCTTAATATTAAGCCTAAAATGTGTTTTAATGTCACTATTGATGAGGATTGTATGATCTTTGAATAATATCGGTCTTTAAATGCAAGATATTTCAAGTGTACCTGAAGTGTACTCGCACACTCTAAAAAATGCTGGGTTAAATACAACCCAGTGTGTATTTGTAGTATACTTAGCATGAAATAAATGTATATCAAATACATTTTAGTATATTTATTTTTCACTAGGGTAGTTAAAAATAAAACTGAAACTAAAATTAAAACTATAAAAAAAAATACTGAAATAAAATATGAAAATCTTTTATTTCAGCTAATTTCAGTTATTTCACTTTCATTTAGTTTAACTTGATGTACTAAAATAACTAAAACTAAAGTATAAAAATTAATAAAAACTTTATAAATAGAATAAAAAAGACAAAAACACAACAAAATTACTAAAAAATTTAACAAACTAAAATTAAAACTGAAAACATAATAAAAATTGATTCAAAATATGAATAAAAACTATAATAATATCTAATACTAAAATAACACTGGTCTCCTTTTATAGCATAGTGTTTGTGACCCTGGAGCACAAAACCAGTCTTAAGTCGCTGGGGTATATTTGTAGCAATAGCCAAAAATACATTGTATGGGTCAAAATTATTGATTTTTCTTTTATGCCAAAAATGATTAGGATATTAAGTAAAGATCATGTTCCATGAAGATATTTTGTAAATTTCCTACTGTAAATATAATAAAACTTAATTTTTGATTAGTAATATGCATTGCTAAGAACTTCATTTGGACAACTTTAAAGGTGATTTTCTCAATATTTTGATTTTTTTGCATCCTCAGATTCCAGATATTCAAATAGTTGTATCTCGGCCAAATATTGTCCTATCATAACAAACCATACATCAATGGAAAGCTATTTATTCAGCTTTCAGATGATGTATAAATCTCAATTTAAAAAAATTGACCCTTATGACTGGTTTTGTGGTCCAGGGTCACATTTTATGTATCCTAAATACATTACACACAAGTAAAAATACTTTCACACTTTCTGCGTAATTAAAAAAAAATTAAAGCTTGATTTAAAATAATGCTCAATAAAAAATATTCTGCTAAGTGATATCTATATGTAGCTTGCTTTTTCTTTTGTTTTCTTCACACATCATGCTTCACATTGCAAACTTGTTAGCTTTAATAAAAATGAACCCCATGGACATAAAAGTGAAGAAACACCAACAAACTAAATATTTTGTGTGATGCAATTATTATCATTTCAACTAATTGCATGACTTTTAACAGTCGTGAAATCCATCTCACGTAACATATATTATTTTCAACATCTTGACAAACGTTGAATAATTTAAATGATTATTCAGTTAGTTTGCTAGTTGGTCTATTAGAGGCATGTAAACATATTTAGCCTTCATAAAATGATCTAATCATCATAAATTCAGAAGAAACTTACAGTGAAAAAAGACTGCATCCCTAGATAGTTTATTCAAGAATTTTTGTCAATACATATTTCATAATTTCACACTCTAAAAAATGCTGGGCTAAATATAACCCAGCGCTGGGTTATATTTAACCCAGCATTTTTTAGAGTGCACATTGTAATATTTTTGCCAACATCATGGTGCTTTCATTATTATTTCATTAAAGCTTTTTCCGCTTTGAAATGTTGCATAAAACTGACTCTGTGTATATTTTGGCCTTTCCGCTTTTTAGCACAGTAAAAAACTAAATAAAATAAATTCCTCAGGGCCCAGTTGTGTTGTAAGACTCGTTCCTATGATGATCAAATTGGTTGGTAAGCAGTTGCTCATAAAATAGGAAAGAGGCCTGGATTTTCTGTTGAGTCTGGCATCTGCATCATTGCGCTTTCTTGCAAAGTCAGTCAAATACTTTACACCAGAATTAAATTTATTCCATAACTTCAGTTGCTAGGACACATGCTTGATTCTGTTGCCGTAGCAACCAAGTGTCAGCCATTTTTAGTGTACCCTTGAGATTTTCAGTCAAAACATGCTCAGACATAGACTATGGCCATTCCAGAATTGAAATTACTGTAGTTCTGTCAGGACCACTATCGTCAAAATGATAGATACTTAGCATAAAGTTTGGTTTGGCGGTATGGTTCTGTTCTGGGCAAAAACCTCCCTGCCCATCCATGCAGCCTGTCATGAATGAGCAGGGAGAGCAGCAATAATAACCCCCCTAGGGTTAACAGAACAGAACAAGGCAGATATCATTAATGTACTTAAAGATATTTAAGTGTAACACTTTATTCAAGATAAAGGAGTCTTGATTAGCAAGGAATATCAGAAAGCCAAGTCCTGACTGTGGCGAAAGGAGGAGCTGGGGATGGAGGAGGGTAATTTGCTCCTGAGCAAGCTGAAAAGCTGCAGAATAATACTGAATAGAGCTTATATAGGAATGCCGCGATAGGTGTCGTATTCCTATAGGTAGATGTGATCAGCTGAGAACCAGAACTAACGCTAACGCTTAATTTAGTCCAGGAGGACTGCATTAATTCACACAATTAAGAAGAAGCACAGCCAATATGATTCTCATATTGATGCTTCAGCAAAGTTAAAACACCCACAGGCTCTGAAAAACTCCCTACCAGATTCTGTAACAAGTATAATCAAAAATGTTATGTAAAAAAAAGCAATTTTTTTCTGACCACAACATGTTGAATCTTGCCTTGCACATCATGTTTAAAAAGCACAGCAGTGTTTGTAAATAAACAGAAATACTTCTATCTATATACACAAGACTTATCCTCCTCTGAGCGCTCATTAATCTTCCACACATAAGCGCTCTTCTGTGTCCAAAAGCTATTAAATTTGTGCTCTCTGCATTCATAGTAGCCTTGTATCCCATTCCAAACTGCATTAATATAATGCAGGAGCCATCGAATGTCTTGCATTTTAACGAATTGAGAAGAACATCCAGATTAGTGGACGATCAATATTTCTCAGTAGCCGATAGACGCTGATATATATAGCATATAAAGTACAATCAGCCGGTCATTATTGCAAAATAAATCCTGACAGGGTGATCAAGACCACTAAATGAATAAATGCTTGGACTTAAATATTGATTCGAGTTGATATTATTTACTAATCTTGCATTTATATGATATTAAAGCGTTCGCTAAGAAAAACTACTGCAGTACATTGTGCAAAACAATCAGCCTAGAAACAAAATGAACATTGCTACAGTAATATTACAGTAATTTTAATAATGAAGTCTTCTGTGGTCATTTTCACTGTAATCCATAACAGAGATGCAAGATTTCACTATAGCTGCGTTTCTAAAAATGAGAGCGCAAGTTTGGGGTGTTGAGAGCAATCGGGTTCTTGAAATCAGGAAAAGTTCACCCAAAAATGAAAATTTGCTGAAGATTTTCCCCCTCAGGGTTTATGAAGCGAGAAGCTGCGAGTTGTAATAAACAAATCCATCATTATGACGTTTTTTTTTTTACTTCAAACTGTTGCTTCCAGCTAAAATAAAAGTCCTTCATAATATTGCTTTCTCCAGTGAAAAGGTTGTCTGAATCAGGAGAGAAATATGCACAGATCAAGCACTGTTTACAAGCAAAGACAGTCCAAAACAGTTCTAAACAAATATGTGGGTGGATTTTGATGTTAGAGAACAGCAGGGGACGGACTTTTTCACTGGAGGAAGGGTCATTATGGATTATGGACTGGCATTTTGGCCAGAAGCAATAGTTTAAAGTTAAAAATATCTTAATGATGGATTTGTTTCTTACAAACACTCAGCTTTTCACTTCACAAGACGTTAACTGATGGTGGTGTGGATTATTGTGATGTTTTTATCAGCTGTTTGGACTCTCATTCTGACGGCACCCATTCACTGCAGAGGATCCATTGGTGAGCAAGTGATGCAATGTTAAATTTTTCCAAATCTGATGAAAAAACAAACTCATCTACATCGTGGATGACCTGAGGTTAATACATTTTCAACAAATTTTCAAGTTTGGTTGAACTATTCTTTTAATAGTCATACTAATTAGGACACACAAATTAGTTTAAAATGCGTTTGTAATTGCTTATTATACAGTGCATTATAAAACTAATGAGATATCATTTCTTTCACTTTATAAACTATTAATATTAACAATAATAGACCACAGGAGCCAGTTGAGTCCTCTGCACAATGTGACTTTGCTGCAGCCTGGAATTGAACTGCTGGTTTCGTCTGGCCAGAGGAGAACTGGCCCCCCGTTGCTTTGACACAATCTGTATTGTTAAAAGCGCTATATAAATAAAGGTGACTTGACTTGACTTGACACTGGAAGGTGCTGCTGACCAAGAGCCGTCTAATAAATATATATATTACACATAAAATATGATTTAGCATACTGATGGCAAAAAACATTATGATTGATTATTTAGTCAATCATTAATCCATACCATTACACATTTTAATTATTTATAGTTAGATTTTTATGGCTTTTTACTTTCTATAATAGATTGTAATCCTCTTTATAATCCTTACATTAAGTCCTTATTGTGATCAGAAAATTAAAAGTATTACAGAGAATGAAACTGTAAATCTGTTGTCTGTTAAATAACTATTTGCTAGTCTGCAGACAGGGAAATTAAAGCAATCGGTTGTGACCTAACATCTTTGTTCCCCAGTGGAAAGTCAACAAATCCATTTATTTGATCGATGTGCTCCTGCCTCCCTCCACGACTACAGCGAGCATTTATTTGGATAGAGTTTTGTTCAGCAAATAATGCTGAAATAGATCTGTTACAATTTGTATGCGAACACTACTTTATCTAAAATAACAAAATGTTTCAACAGCAATACTTACCTCTTCATTTGAAGTCTTGAAATCCATGTGCTAAGGTCAGAGAAACAGCCCTTAGAGAGGAAAAAACATGAAAAAGAAAACCAATCACCATGTAATTAGAACACGTCGCATTAGCAAAAGCTAAATGTTATTGACCTGCAATGATAAATGGTGTTTGCAATGAAAGTTGCATATGTTGCAAAGCAAAGAAAAATTCATTATAGATAAATGAAAATGCATTCGAAATTAATCATTGCTTAGTTTGTGCAGTTGCTGGAGAAATACACAACTTTGCCTTGCATGAAAGCCCGCTTGGATGTGCACAAATTTAATCAAAACTATTCACAGCAAATTTGTTTTGACAAATAACAACAGCATCTGGACGTGCAAAGCCAAAGAGGAGGACGCGCTTTGATATTCGGTGTAAAAAGCTTTTTCTAAAACGCCTAAAAGTGTTACATTTTTATTTTGCTAACATGTGGATGGCAGAAGAGATTAACCAACCGGAAAGCAATAACCACTTCTGAATACGAATGCAAATGTGGCATTTCAAGTTGCTCGGAGGCCTACTAAATATATCAATGAGAGTTATTGTCAAACAATATATCAGCCTGTTTGGGATGGTCTCTGAACATGTACTGCAATTTCTAGTTTGCTGTACACGGTCTGCTTGAACGCTTCATTGTGCAATAAGAATATGGCATTCAAACAAACCCTATGGTTAGGTCTGGTGTTAATGTTATTAAACCAACAAGTGATAATAATATCTTCATTATTAAGATGTAAGATGAATGCCAAACCACAGTGAAGCATCATTAGCATAATTATTGAATCATGATAATGATCCGGTGGCGTCTACTCAATGACTATGATAGTCATAATGATGGACACAGATGGACAAATCTTGCAAAAACATATCTAAATCACATTTTATCATAAAAATGCACTATATTTCATTTGATTTGGGATGAAATATGACTCAGACATGCTGTTTGTGAGATTCACCCAGCAACAAATTTTCTGGTATACAATTATACTTATTTGTACAGGATGAATAAATCACTGGAGGCATTTCCTGCTGTGTTTTTCCAGTGCTGCTTTATAAATGTCTTAATAATTCACATTGTGAAAAGAATCACACAGCAGTAGCTGACCACAGCGCTGTTGTCGTTTAGCATTAAAATGCCGCTTGTGTACTAGAAGTACTAGTGAGCGCTAGGATTAAAACCATCCTGAAGATTGTTTCACAGAGGAATCACTTCTGCTATTTCATCTCCCAGAGTAGCACAAATTAAAATCACGACCAGTGGAGCACATTTAATCAGAACAATCGCATAATTCGCACAGTCTGAAACCACTCAGCGGAGCAAATGTGGAGAGATTACAGCTCTATCTGCCAGTTTTTTTTTTGTGTGGAAGCTTGTTTCTGCTATGGGATAAAATAATTAAACTGTAATTGCGATTTTTTATCTCACAATTCTGACTTTTTTCCCTCAGAATTCTGAGTTCACATCTCGCAAATCAGTTTTTTTCCGCCACATAATAAAAAAGGTAATTGACTTTTTATCTCGCAATTCCGACTTTTCTTGTAAGAACTGCAAGTTTATATCTCACTTTTTTTTTTGTTTCTGCCACAGAATGAAAAATAAAAAAGGTAATTGACTTTTCATCGCACAAATCTGAATTTTTTTCTTGCAATTGCAAGTTTATATCTCATAATTCTGACTTTTCTAATCAGAATTGCAAGTTAAATTGCACAATTCTGAATTAGGGCTGTCAACAAAAAAATTGAATTTCCACATTGAATTTTAGGTCTGCGTCAGCCGTCAGGCAGCCTATCAGTGGCGCACGAAATGCGACGACGATGTAAGTGTCTGTGTAAGTGTAAGCATCAGTGTAGAGAAGATGTTGTTTATGTCAAAACTGAAACCAAGCCGTTCACACAGAACGCATATTTATCACATTTTCTAGAGGGACATCTATCAGCCCCTCTTGTGGCCTCAGGAGAGAAGCCAAAAGCGTTTTTTCCCCTAACTGAAATTACGCCTTTTAAATTCGAATATAATTCGAATTTTGAAAATATTTAAGTAGAAAATTCGAATTTAGTTTTTCAGTCATTTTGACAGCCCTATTCTGAATTAGAATTTCTTAAATCTCAGAATTCTATTTTTTTTGTTTCCGTCACAGAATAAAAAGTTAAAAAGTAATCGCGACTTTTTTATTTTACAGTTCTGATGTTTTTTCTTGGAATTCTGAGTTTATGTTTAACCATTCTGACATTTTCTCAAAATTCTAAGGGTTTTTTAGTTTCCCCCATAGAATTAAAAATAAAAAATGGTAATCGTGACTTTTAGATGGCGCCACCATCTGTAGAGCTTAGTGGCGAGTCTATATCTCACAATTCTTAGTTTAAATCTTACAATTCTGACTTTTTTTCTCATCTGGGAATTCTGAATTATGCCTTGGAATTCCGACTTTTTTTTCAGAATTCTGAATTTATATCTCACAATTCAGAGTTTATATCTCAGAATTGTGAGGGGAAAAATCAGAACTGTGAGATATAAACTCAGAATTGTGAGAAAAAGAAAAGTCTAAACTGTGAGATAAAAAGTCGCAATTACCTTTTTCATTTTATTTTTTTTTATCTCATAGCGGAAACAAGCTTCCATAGTTTTCACCATATTTTGTCTGTATTCCAAATGCAAGGACAGCCCGGCTATTTTCCCCCACTTTAATCAGCGTGCTTTTGCTCTAAGAGTGCTTGAATGGTAAAATGTTGGAACATTTCTCCATAAGTGGCATGTGCCATAAGATACCTTCATAAGCGAGATATATTGGCGAGCCCTTGGATTCCAAATTCCCCATTATATACCAAAAATTGACAAAAAGCCGTCTCAGTGATGAACCTTGTCCTCACATGGAGTGCACTTAAGAGGAAATAGCAATCTGAGGCTCATAACGGAGAGGATATGTGTCTCCAAAGCAGCGATGGTGAGTACCTCTTGAGTGCCATCTGTCAAAATGAGCTACATGACCCTTTAAAACCTCTGAGCTGGAGGAGACGTCGCGGATTGCTCAGAATTTCCACCACGGATCGATTCCAGCTAAGAAAGTCCTGGCAGAATACACAAGGCCTTCAGACAGCGGCTTTATGAATAATTCATTGGCGTGGCAAGAACGAGTGTTCCCTAATAAACATCTCTATGAGGTCTACAGGTCTTTCCACTCGCCTGCCATCTGAAATTTTAATTTCATTTATTTTGTAATTCGTAATATTTTTAATGATGATTCTCAATCGATTATTAAAGTAAATGATTTCAATCATTTAACTTTTTTTAAGAATAGTTTTTTTAGAATGTAGAACTTTTTTTTTTTTAATATTCTATTACATTTTTATTAAGCTCAAATCTCCTTTCATAGTGGCCTAAGGCACTTTTTGGCAATAGAAACCGATATATAAAAAATTATATCACAAACAATAATAAAAGACACAATATAACATTAAACTAAACACAGAAAGTTTGTTTTAAAAATTACACAAATAAAAAACATTTAGCACCCTAATAAATTCATAACAATGTCACAAAACATGTTTAAATCATATTCACCCCCCAAAAAAATGGATATTTTGCATTGTGACATTATGAAGCACATAAATTCTCATTATCACAATGCATTCCGACTTTTTAATTAATTTATTTTGCAATTCTTATTATTTTTCATGATGATTCTTCTTATATCCGTATTACTCTGACAAAGCAAATTATTTCAATTATTTTTTAAATCAAAATAAGCAATAATAAGAATGGGAGCCTATGCTTAACTGTGATGAAAATAAAGTAACAAAACTTGTACAAATAACAGGTTTGGTTTTGTTAATGCAAAATATAATCTTATATTTTTTTTCTATAACCCAGCATCATGAGATATGCCTTCAAACACGAACACTTTGTATTTTATAAAATTATTACCATGTATTATTGTTACAGTACTGGTTTATTAAAAACAACACCATGTGCAACACAGCTAAAAATCAATACCAAGGTCATTCTTATACATTCAGAGCTCATTAAATCGAATTTGCTGTGGCTTGCGACCAAAAATAGAAATGTTGTTGGGTGTTCTTCACCGTGACTACATAATTTACTATGTGTTGTTTCTATGCTTTGCTTTCTCTCAGTAACATGCCTGGCATTCAGCACATACAGTTTCACACTGACTCACTCGCTTTGTCGTTCTGTGAAAATGAGATGTGATTTGCATGTTAACAGGCCAGTGCAGTATGGCTTTTTTTTTTTCATCTGCAACATTATTTTAATACAGGCACCTCATCGGTTGGGCGTCTCACAACAATTCCTTGGGCCTTCTGGGAGATGTCACTAAGAATTACGTTTTCTGCATTGCAATGTACAGAGTGAAACACAGCATTCCTCTCAGTAGTACAAGAAATAGAGTCTAATATGCTTTCTAAAAACATGACAGCAAATTTAATTCGGCTAAGATGTTCTTAAAGGAACCGTTCACTCAAAAATTTTAATCCGTATGAGTTTGTCTGTGAAACACCATGCTGACGCTGCTCTTTTCCACCCAAACGAATGGTTATAGTGGCTGTCAAGCTTCAATAAGGACAAAAAAGCACCATAAAAATCCCATAAACTAGCAACCGTAGCACTCAAACCTGGGAAGAACCAAAGTCATGCCGGTTTGGAATGACACAAGGGTGAGTAAATGATGACAGAACGTTCGTTTTTTCGATGAACTATTCCTTTAAGATCACCTACTCAGCAAATGAGTCGATTTGTCAAGCTCCAGCTAGAGGCTTGGGTATTTTCGGCTTACCTCCAGGGAAAGATCTTCAGCACAGCACAGCATGGAGGTCAAGCCATGGGGAAGGAGGCAGGGGAGACTTTGCAGATGCTGGTTAAGGGCTGATGTTTCAGGCTTTTCTTCCTTTCTTTATTCCAGTACAGGGTGTTGGCCCTCAGGCCCAGCCAGAGTCCTACAGCTGCTGGAGTAAAGCAAGGAATTAGTAAGGTAGAATGATTTGATTAGCAAGGTCAACTCAGTGGATATTTTTGCTCTTTTTAGCTTCCAAACTTGTTAAAGTTTGGTCACTGTTAAGTCACCGTTAAAACAGTTTGCGTGCAAAGCTTTTCTAAAAAGTTGTTTCTTTAATTTCATCTCCTGCTGCTACAGAGTGTCATTTTTTAAATGTCCCACCATGAGCATTGCGCTTTTAAAATGCTGTGTCAAGTTAAAAACAGAAAAAATCAAGACCCCGGCATTCTGTTTCATTCAGCGTGAGCTGTTTTTCAGCTGTTTCCGAATGTAGCTGCGTTGGTCTGGTTTCAAATGGTGGAAAATGCAAATAAATCCAATTAACCTTATAATCTTGCAAAGTTAGGATACATTTTTTTATCCTTTTAAAGCAATAGAAAACACCCAAAATAAAATAACCACAGTGGTCACTATTCACTTTCTTTGTATAGTAAAGAGCAACTCGGAAATTCTGCTATTGAAATGGTTTCAAAAGACATGACGGGGAATAAATTATGGTGAAAGTTTCATCTTTTAGGTGAACTATTTCATTTAAATGGAGAAGAAAATGCCTTTCTTTTTCAAATGTTTTTGTTCTTTTTAAAGGCTTTGCATTTAATCAAATTGGCACAACCAGCATTGACTATTTAATATTACACTCTAAAAAATGCTGGGTTAAATACAACCCAGTGCTGGGTCAAATATGGACAAACTCAGCAATTGGGTTGTTTGCTGGGTCAAAACAACACAATTGCTGGGTTTGTCCATATTTCACCCAGCACTGGGTTGTATTTAACCCAGCATTTTTTAGAGTGTAATACTTAATTAATTAATATGAATGCATTTGTAAATGTGGTAATATATTCATAAATTGATTGACTGATATTAATATTAATATAATATCAATTGATTAATATAAACAAAATATTAATATCAGTATCAACACCAATTGCTTTTAATACTGTTTTATATTACATTAAAAACGCAGCACTGCTTTGTTTACAGTGGTAACCAGGAAACGCTGTATTGCTGCTGTTCCATTAGCGCCACCTGCTGTCAGAGAGTGAATTTGCTTCTCATCCAGCCCATCTGCTGTTTTTGTTTCGTGCAGATGTTTTATGTAGCATAGTTTCACAAAGCTAAGGTCAGACCATTCTGTTTTTGCTTTACATTTTGAAATTATACAATCTAATTTAAATAAAAAAATACTCATGCTACATGTAGAATGTTTGCTTGGATCGTGATTAAAATGCAGTGGTTCTGCAACTGTTTCATACATGCTGATTCATATAAAGGCACAGTCAGGGAAAAAAACGTGATAAACCATGAAACCTCCAAAATCCTAAAAAAAATTACAAAAAAACGTGATACAGATTTTTGGTCAAACCGACCAGCACTATACAATACTAATATGTGACCCTGGACCACAAAACCAGTCATAAGGGTCAATTTTTCAAAATTGAGATTTATACATCATCTGAAAGCTGAATAAGCTTTCCATTGATGTATGGTTTGTTAGGATATGACAATATTTGGCCGAGATACAACTATTTGAAAATCTGGAATTAGCCATGCATATTACTAATCAAAAATTAAGTTGTAATATATTTACAGTAGGAAATTTACAAAATATCCACATGGAACATGATCTTTACTTAATATCCTAATGATTTTTGGCATAAAAGAAAAATCATTAATTTTGACCCATACAATGTATTGTTGGCTATTGCTGCAAATATACCCCAGCGACTTAAGACTGGTTTTGTGGTCCAGGGTCACATATATTAAACAAATAATTACCAACATACAAATACGTCATGAAAAACCAGTGAATGCTGAACATTTTCAATGTTTAAAACAGTTCAAAACAGCAGCTCAATGAGATATTTTGACCTCTTTATTTGAAAACTACCAAATCCGAAAATACTTGGTTAGTAATGCATTGCTGCTGTCTAGAGAACGCATCAATCCCCCAATTGTAATGGCTTTATCTTTTCTTCAGGACTTTGAAAAGAAATATTGAATTCTGGTAATTGCGTTTAGTGGCCAACATTGAGAGCAAAACAATCTAAAGCAATTTACATCTCTTCCATTGTGAGCCTCGTCTTTTTCTCCCTCGTTCCCTGAGAGAGAGATTCTGAGACACAAATCACACAGTCAATACAGTCAAATTGAAACGCCAGGCTTCCAACAACACGACTAGCCTTTAGATTCATAATGTTAGTGCATGATTGCTTCCAAACTATTCAGCTCCGAGACAGTTTGCTAGTTTAAGAGCATTATCTGCAGGAATAGCAAAAGCATTAAACTATTATATGTGAAAGCATTCGGTTTGGTAGCTGTGGATAAGCTCCAAAAAAAGTAACAAGACGTATGTTTTGTAAATTGCCTACTGCGTTAACTCAGTCTTGGAGTTTGCAGGGGTTTATTTCAACAGAACATAATGCAATGTGATCTCCCATCCTGAGGCTAATTCATCTATGGCCGTTCTGTGCATGTTTCTACATGCTGAGCTTTATTTCACACATTTAATTTCACAACCCCACGATTTTCCCTCTGAAACATCTAAAATAAAACATTATTTGTCATCGTTAAAACTGCATTATGCACGGCTGACTCATACAATCTTGCTTCATATATGTGTGTGTCATTACAGCAGCTGGGACATGTTTATTAACTGTAAATTTGTGTAACAGAGTGTTTCAGCATGTCTTCATCCATTAGTGAACTATCCTGGCCGACTAACCTTCTGCATATTTCTCCGGCTGACATCTTTAACCTTTTCTTTGACAAAATGCTGCAATTGTAACTATAACTTGGCTATTGCTGTAAAACGGTTTATCGTGGTCTCCACCGGTCACAGTGGTCTGGGAACTCATGTACTTATCACCATCATAATGGCCAGACCGTCGGGCCGCCACAAAAGCTATTCATTTCCGCGAGACCCTGGTGCCACAGCAGCTCAAAGTGTTTCAATTTTTTACCGAGCAACCTAAGATCCAGGCTAAATTACAGAGAAACGCTCTGGAAATAATTGTGGAACTGTATTTAGGGCTCAACAGTGCGAACATTTACTATAAATAGATGCGTACTGTAAAATGTATTGAGGAGCATGTGCGCGAGTCACAGAGAGTCTTTAAAGGGATAGGTCACTCAAAAATTAAAATTCTGTCATCATTTACTCACCCACCCTGTATTTAGGGCTCAACAGTGCGAACATTTCACTCGCGTACAGTACGCGACTATAAATAGATGCGTACTGTAAAATGTATTGAGGAGCATGTGCGCGAGTCACAGAGAGTCTTTAAAGGGATAGGTCACTCAAAAATTAAAATTCTGTCATCATTTACTCACCCACATGTTGTTCCAAGCCTGTATGAGTTTCTTTCGGCTGTTGAACACAAAGGAAGATATGCTGAAGAATGTTGGTAACCAAACATTTTCCGGTAGCCATTGACTTCCATGATATTTTTTCTATACTATAAAAGTCAATGGGTACCGTCAACTGTTTGGTAACCAACATTCTCCAAAATATCTTCCATTTAAAAAACCTAGTGTACTTTTTGTATTCTAATAAATTAAATAATTTTGCTTAGAAATGTCTCTTTGTATTTCCTTTTTAAGGAAAAACAAATTATTTGGTCAATTTTCATTGTAGTTTTTAATGCGCTTCTAAATTTTTCAACACACGCTCCTTGAGAAAATTGTAAGCATCAAGCGCTGGTATTTGATAAATGCAACTGCACATAAAAACACTCTGTGATATAAACCTTGCTGGCATGAGGCGCTGCTGAAACTAACCATATGCAGTTAATGTTTCCTTTAGGAATGAATCTAATCTTCCCACGAACACCTGCATACACTCAGAAACAAGAAGTCAAACGGTTGGCTCGCCACGCTGCTGTCTGTGACGCTGATGCCCTATCAAGGTCGATGTTTTTCGCCGGGTTTCTCTCAAGCAGGTGAGTGAACATGCTCCCATGAGATGTAAGCCAGAAAACCACATTTTATTTGTGTATTTCACAGCCAAGACACGGAGAGAGCAAACACACTCACACTGCTCTGGGCACTGGGCATTTCCACTGCCTGGAATCGAGGCAAAACCACACTGCTGTGTCACGCTACAAAGTGATTTTCAACCATTTGATATTATGCATAAAATGAGCTTATATTGGCTAAATTATATTGCTAGATGTATTCACATTGCTTTATTTCAGCAAGCAACCAATACAATAAATGATCCGTTGCTTATATTTACTAGGAGAGTCTGTTTTAAGTTGCACAGTCTCACAGCAACACAAGTAATGCGTTGTTTTATACCCTGCACTTCTAAACAAAAGCATCCTTACAAATGCATTCAATCATAACAAAAATACTACCATGTTTTTTTTTTTTTTTGGGACATGATATGGTAATCAGTCAGTTGCATAATATATATCATTACCAGGAAATTACAAATGTGATTTCTTTAATATCTCAATTTGTTCTAGATGTAAATAAGATTAATCGGAGAGCAAACAGAGACTTTTATGATATTTCATGCATTTTCATGCTTGCCCAACAATGTGTCAAACTGTGCTCAGATTGAGTTAAATAAAAAAAATAATAATAAATTAAGTCAAAGATCTCTATAATATAATGAAATAAAAATTATCTAATATATTAACATGTATGTTATAATATTTAATTATATAATATAAGCATTTCTCACCAATTACTTTTAAGACAAAATTATTCAAGATATCTACATTCATTTTATAGCCTAACACTATACTCTTACTGTATCAATTGTCTCATTTGTTTCTTTCATAAATATATACATGTATATCATTACCATAATTTTAATTACAAATGTGATCACTTTAATATCTCAATTTGTTCTCAAAGACAGTGGCGCCATAAGGGGG